TCTGAGCATAATTTATTATGATTTATTCCGAAGACATTTTGTTTTTAATAATTTTATTTTTTTCCTCATGTGCGCAATCTCCAAAAATCAGGGCAATCAATAATCAGACTCTATATCTCAAGATAAAATAATTTTTGCAGGTTTCCCGCCCATTGGATCGGGAAGAAATGTCCGAGCATCGCCTTATTGTTCGATTAAGCGATGGTATAGCTCCTTATCCTTGTAGGTTCTCCAGTTCTTACTTAATAAAAATGAGTTACCCAATGCTTACAACTGCTTCAGACCATACTACGGAATGCAGTGTCACCATAAGTCTTCAGGACGTTAATGACAATGCTCCTGAGTTTGTGTCCCCATCGGAGTTCCAAGTAGAAGAAAATAGTCATCTAATGAAGGTTGTGGGTAAGTACAACGCGCAACCGGCACAAGTTTGCGTGTTCTTAGTTCCTTACCTAATTTAGGACGAGTTAAAGCGATTGATGCCGATGAAGGACATAATGCTCAAGTGTCATACCGTATTCTGCCAGAGACATTGCCGTGGGCAGAGTTTATCATTGACGGCGTTCATGGCGATATAATGGTGAATAATAGCTGTCTCACCTTTTTATTTTAATACCGCTAATTTAAACCAAGCAACACTTCCTTTCAGGTCAATAAACCATTAGACTACGAGCAGAAACAGAACTACACGTTTACTGTTGTTGCAATGGACTATGGTTCACCACAGATGCAATCCGAACAACAGATTACTGTACATATCGTGGATACGAATGATCATGATCCAGAACTTTCTTCCGATGTTATGGTAGTCAACGTAGATGAGGTAATTTAACGAACTCAATACTTTATCCTTCAAAATACTTACAATTATTCAGGTCGTACCTCGAGGTTCAACGTTAGCACGCTTTTACGTGAAAGATGAAGATACGGTAGGTCCTACAAAGCCATTGGGTATACAAATACAGAACTACCAATTTCCTTCAGTCATTAGTTCAGGCGGTTTTCCACCGTATGAACGTAACAAATAAAGTCATATTGATACGCTTATTTCGAAAAAGCGAGCCTTGCGTTTGCGGTTTCCATCTCACTCAAACCAACAGTGTTTCAATCAACCTTTTAAGCAGGTTACGGTGTAAATATGCCTGAATAACTGATTATTTAGAAAGTAACAGAAGAGTTTGCTTTTTTAAGCCATAACATGTATCTAAAATTTTTTCCAATT